TCTGGGGATGCCCCCCCCGGATTTTCGTGTTGTGGGTCCGAAGTCATGGTCGGAGCACGTACTACGGCGCTCAGAACGCTGGCCGAAGTCCCGCCCAGGTGACCTTAGTCCACACCAACCAACCCCATATTTACCGCTTTCCATTGTTTGCCTTTGCTGCGTTTCCTTGTGTGTTATTAAATGGTGGCACTGACGACGACAGGTTCCTCCGTGCGAAATTGCTTGTGGTGGTGGAGGAGGAGACCTTGGAGAGCAGGGTGTGGGGAGTGTGTACCTGTGTGGGGGTGGGTGGGAGCCGCACGAGCTGGATAGATTGTTGGCACCACCACTGTTAGCCCTCTATGCTGCGATCCTTGCATTTGTTCCATTCGTGATCGTTCGGCTCTGGGCTCCTAAAGGTAGAATTGTGCAGCTATATTGTGTATTCCTTGTGGTCAAGAACCCGCTGCATTGTTTGCAGGTAAGGACTGCTGTCTACTTCGACCATATTAACCAGCGTGTGTGATGTGTTGGAGTCAGTTGATTAAGTTTTCCTTTTTTTTGTTTTCTGTTTTGGCGCGCCGCTAACTGGATATATTGACCATCGGGCCGATGTTAGAAGCAGTCTTCCTTGTTGTACGTTGACCAAATTCAAATAAAAGACAAAAGTTTGCATTTCTTCTACGGTAATGAAGTACTTGTACTCAAGCGGCGGTGATTTTCTCTTTCCACCCTATCCCATGCGCACGCACGTTATTATGCTCTCCGTGGACAGCCCGGGACCTCGCTCTACCACACTCGAAAAAAGTGTGCGTGTGCGCCCTGCAGGCGATATGCTCACAATCTTCCGGAGATTAGTCTACAGCAGTTCGTTATTTGCAAGTGTATAGAAGTACAGCGCCCGGGTTTCGCTGTCCCCCGGGAACACAAGGCACGTTTCGAGCGTGATGTTTTCGTCTTTTATTCAACAAGGCAAAACGGGGTCGACAAAAAAATGATCGCGAAAGAGAGAGAAGAGAGGTACGATACGGGCTCTCTTATTGGTTGTTGGCACGGCCATTTTTTTTTTCTCCCAGCATTTGCGCGGTTTAAACAATAACAATCCCTTATATTTTTACAGGTGGGTTCCAGTCCACAATTTGGTGAGCGCCGAATACACGTACTCGGCTTGTACTGCATGATTCAACGATATTCAAAGTGCTGTACAACCGTGGAAGAGAAAGCTACAAGATGCGAGGCATCCCGTTGTAAACAGACTTGAGACACCTAACTACTGTAAGCGTGACGCCTGCGCGTGGATGCCATTTTTCAACCAAATCCGCCCTTCCCGCCGGCTACGTTGAACTTATCACTGCAAGTATTTGTCGTCTTGCTCTCCACCCAACAGTAGGCATTAAAGCCAAGTTTCGTGCGAATTGGCAGCGTATACAGCGTGTTCTCGTGTTCGCCAGGAACGTGCGGTCGGGTCGGTAGAGGGTAGAGGTTCCGCCGCGTGTTCGGGGATCCGCTGTGCCTACTGGCTACAGCAGTAGCACACCAATACCATGCCTCTCAAGTTTTGAAGTTACAGGCATCCACGGTTGGGGATACTGTAGAGACCCCGATTGTATCATCGCATCCATCTCTTCTTCTTTTGCTTCTGCTTTGCGTAGTATACACGGCGGCAGCAATTTAGGTTCGTAGAGTCTACCTTCATCGAGATACCAGGGGCCACTGTCTGCGGAAGTCCCCAACAAAAATAGCTTTCGGCATCTAGGACTTGTCCCTGGACTTGTCCCAGGAACGCTGCTGCTCTCCTTCGCGGAAAGTTCACGGAAAGTTATCTTCTGAATATGTAGTGTCTTGATCTGTCAAGCTCGAGTGAACGAGTGCACTGCTGTAGATTGCTCACCCCCTGGGGTGGTCGGCAGGCTTGAGATGGTTGAGTGTGGTAGGTAAACCCGCCGGCGGCATCTATCTACAGTATGCCACGTGCTTTGTTCTTTGTCTACGCACGTGTTCCCGCTGTGTTGGTGTTCTGCCGCGGTGACAAACGTAAAAAAAAGGGACGGATCATTGAGGTCCCGCACAGCAATGGAATGTGAATCTTGTAGCATATCCATAGCGAGCGGTATTCGAGCTCTCGTTGGTGACACTGCTTACGCCTGCCCATTTTCTGCTGAGCGCGGTACGTCCAATGCGTGAAAGTTTCCATTTCCGCTGAACGCGGGGAACATCGGCTCGTTGCTCGTTGCTTTTAACACCACGAAACAGGAGAATTTTCAATGGGTGTCGAACGGTTCTACATGCGACGTTCGTCGCCACGGTCAAAATCCGTTGAATTTTCTTTTTGGCGAGTCGAGCGAGGAGCGCAGAACGGAGCGAGAGATCCCGCCCTACCAGACTTCACAACCCTCAACCCCCACAACCCTCAACCTCCACAACCGCATCCGCCGTCGACCCGATCTCGGTTTTACCAAACATCGCGCTTTATATAACAGAACCACCGCAGCTCTTCTACTGCTGTCTGTCCACCACCAGCGCCACCAGCGCCACCAGCGCCCTATACTACAGGATGAGATTGCACGCTGATCATTTTGCGGCATTTCTGATGCTGGTCGCATCTTCGTCACCAGTTCTAGGGGTAGATCTCGGCAAGATACAGGCAATCACGGCATCCTCCGCCTTCGATGATTTTGCACGGAGCCAGTCGGCATACTCAGCGGCGTCAAGTTGGTACAACGACCGTCTTTCGTATGATGCCGCTGAAGGCTCCACGGCGCCGTACGTCGCTTGTGCCGACTACAAGCAGGGTCGCCACGCCTTGACATCCTTGGAGACTGCTTTCACCAAATCCGCCGTCCACCGCGTCTCCAACACCGAGGCTGACGGAACCTGCTTCATCGTGACAGCCTTGCCGTCTTCTGCCACCGCCGTGATCCGCGCTCCTGAGGACTTCGATCTACTCAGCGCGGCCCCGCTGCTGCCCTCGCTGAAGCTTGCCACCAGCCTGCTTGACCACGGCCCCGACACATCACCGCGCCTGGGCGCCGCCGATGACTTCGACCTCTCCGACCACTCGGCACCACTGCGATCGACCTACGGCGAAGGTATGACCCTCGACAATGTTCATGGCTTGAGCGTGAGACTCTCTCCGGGTGTTCTCACTGCTGGTGGTCGTGAATCCTTCGCTGAGGCCTTTCTTCGCGACTGGCATGCCGACCTCACGTCTGAAAGCGTGAACATGAGGCGGGCGAGCTTCTGGTCTGACTCTGATGCAGACCGGAGCGAGTACGATGTAACGCGTGTCCGAGAGTGGAGCAGAGCAGCGGCTGTGGTTGATGGCTTGGCATCGAAGAGCGCTCGGACAGTCGGAGAGATCTGCGGGTTCGGGAAGCTCAAACTGCGCCATGTTGCCGACGACCTCGTGCTTGTGGAAGGTATACACGATTTTGATGGGCGGGCTGTCGACGGCATGTTTTGCTGGGGAGAGGATATTTTCAGTTCTATTGTAACGGTGTTGCTGCACTATAGACTATTTCAGATATTTCTGTGAAACGTTGAGTTCGTTTGTCGGCGAGCTGCCGTAAATCGGTCCCAACAAGCGTTAACTCTCGTTCGTGGTAGTCCTTTCTGTACGTGAAGCGACCTCTCCGAAGACACAAGTGTCATTTCTCTTCTACATGTACTCTTCCGATTCATGCGAATTTTCCCCCCTCTCGTGTGCTTTTTCGACGGATGCTTCCTGGTTGTGATGTGAAACGTCGGCTGTTTGACGCCAACGAGACGTTATTTGTTCAATCTAATAAAACTAGATATCAAGAGTTAAGGTTCAATAACTTTCCTATTTTTTCGACCCGATAAGGTATGTGCTTGTCAAGCTCTGTTCTGCGCGAGCGAGTCCGCAAGTACGTCCATTGTTGTGTGTGTTATTATTTTTATATTTTTTTTATTGGTTTCAGTTTTGGGGGTGCAATTTTGGACACAGTCTATAAGGAAGCAGTCAAGACGGTTCACTAGCGGTCGCTCGAGCTGTTCTGAAAGCCCCTAGATGTTGTACCTCGTTCCCCGCAAGACAGGTATGAACCACCTTCTGCCGGGCAAGAGATTCCCTTCAGAGACCAGAACGGCGTGCTACATGGGGCTGCTTTCACAGCTGGCGGCCAAGCCTGAGGTTCTTCGCGTCTCCCCCCTTCAATCGGCCAGACTCCACAACGCTGTGGCCAATGCGTTGGTGCAGAGCGCTACCACGACCGAAACGCCGCTCCTCGATGCTGGATTGGACGGCACTGGCGAAGTCATCCAGGTGAGGCGAAAATGGAGCTAGCAGCGCTTTTCGAACAATGTCTACTGCTGCGTAGGTTTGTTTCCATTGGTTTCCAACGATAGTGGAAGAGTTTCGGTCAAGTACCACGGTGCAAAGGTGTTCCAGCACCGCCATGATGTCTTGAACGCCAACCGTCCTGTTTGCTCTGTGAGGCTAGGCGAGAATAGACCATTGTAGGGCGAATGGATATCAGTGATGAAACTGATATGCGAAACGAGGGTTATCATGTACATCAAGGAACGTTACTCAGTAAAGCATTCTGTCACCAAACAACCCCACGTGCTGTATATTGCATGCTGCCTATAGGTGGTAGACTCTGGGTTGGATGAAACATCGTGTTTTTTCGCGGACGATGACGGACTCCAAGTTGAGCACGGCTTCTTGTTCGACGGTGTTCGAGTAGAAGACGATGGCAACGTGTCGACGGTGCTGGGAAACTACTCTTTCCCGTTCGACATGTCACGCCGTAAGGTGGGAACGGGTAAAACACAAGGAGGTGGCGGTGGTAGCTGTGCCGCGGAATGTTGTACCTGAGATGGTACTAACACGCGTGCTTTCGTGGAGCCCCGCTGACCTATTGTTGGTGTTGATCTCTTGCGCTGCTACCCTGATGACGTGTAATGGCTGTAGGGATCAATGATTTATTCTCGCCCCCGCATGCAGCCAATGTCTGTAGAGCGACCCCGCCCCGTGTAGACCATCCCGTTGCGGTCGCCGTATATATCAATAGGACGTACTCTGTGGGAATGCCGGGCACCGTACTACCATAAGGATGCGAGAGAACGCACGGGGGTGCGATCGAATATTGTTTTATTTTCGTTCTTGACGTTTTAGTGCACGGGGGTGCGAAACCACTGTACCGTACGTGCGATATCACCGATCCCCGTGCAACAATCGAACTAAACCACGTCGACCCTGAACCTTTGTGGCACGCGGGGGGGGGGGGGCGTACGCTTATGTTTTGCATGCCTTTGCGTCCTCGAGAGGACGGAGTATTGTTCCCACAGGACCGATCGCCGATGGTCAATCGTTCCTTCCTACTTTGCCATGGGTGGCTCGATCATGTCTTCCGTCGTCTGTCTACCGTAAGGTTCCGAGTCAGCGCAGGGGTGCGAATGATTTTCAAAGCGTAATTTCTCCACAACCAGGAGGTTTTAGAAATATCCCATCGAGAGCTTTCCTGAGAAGTATCAGTTGGCGCTCCACCCTCCTGGTTGTGGAGAAATTTCGTTTTGCCAATCGATCGCACCCCTATACACTGACTCGCAATCTTACGGTATCCTATCGATACCCCTCCCTACCTTTTCAACCCACTTCCTATGCCCCAGTACACCTAACGTCTTCTCCTGGCTATTCCATGCCTCGGACATATACCTGTACCTTCCTTCTACTTTGCCCAGCTCAGTCATGTAAACTTCCTTCTCCTTCTTGTACAGCCAACATTCCGCGACTACATGAACCCAGTCTTCGCACTCGGAGCCGCAACCACTTTTGAACTTGTCGCCTTCATCGTCTGCAAACCTACGTTCTCGAAGGCCAATGTCCCCGGTCCTGAATTGACCTTCAGCATTGTCCCTGCATCCGTTGGCCCATGTACGTATTCCTTGAACCCTCTCCTTCTTTCAACATTCCGTAAACGTCTAGACCCTCCTTTTCCTTGTATTTTATTGTCAGATTCTGTTCTTCTCTCTCGGCAAAAGCAACAGATATCTTCTCCTTGAACCCCTCTTGACCTTCCGCTTCTAGCGTTTCACCTTCGTCGATTTCGAACCCCTTCCATACGTCACCTACAACCTCGACCCACTCCGTGGGTTGTCTAACCCTCTTCTTCTTTGCCCACTTCGCCTTTCAAGCTATTCTCGGCATCCTCTCCTCTCCCATACCGCACATGCGATACTGCCATGTCAGAATCCTTGCGCCTCTTCCCGATCGTAGGGATCGGATCCCCAGTTCTGCTCTGATGGTTGCATCACTTGTTCGCTTGGAGCATCCTACAGTAGCATGATTTTCGCTGCTTTCATGTGCGCCGCCTCGAGCTCTTTGACTACCTTGGTATTTCCGTCCCGTACATTTCCGGCGTACTCTAGCGGCGGTAAGATGAAGCGCTTCAAAACTGTTAATTTGATGCATGTATCGAGGTGCCGGTTTGCGAGTATTGGGTGCACCTTCCCTGCTCGTGCTCTGCCCTTTTCCGCTACCTTGGACATGTGTGTATTCCATTTTTGCGATCTCTACTCCGATATGTTTACTGGTCCACTACTGCAAGCTCCTCAACCTCCCACTTCCATCTATTCTCTTCTGGTTTATCCCTGTCCTCGTTGCATACCATAACGGCACTCTTCTTACCGTTGACAGACAATCGACAGTCTCCACTTGTCTGTAAAATCTTTCGCTGCGTCAATCTGCAGTTCAAGTCCCTCAGGGGTCTACAAAATCATCCGCAAACAACATTCCCGACACCCACGTTTCCCCTACCTTTACCCCCTTCCTAACTGCCTCTACAACGTTCAGCAAATCGTTGATGAACACGTGGAACAATGTTGAGGGCAACGTGCAACCTTGTGGGACCCCCTGTTCAATATTGAAGAATTTTCATTCAGTTCTCCGTCTAGCATGACAGCGGTTTTCGTACACTCTTTCATCTTCTTCAACACTCTCCACATTGTCCCCTTTATCGCATGTTTGGACAATTGTTTCCACAGCCAATTTCTCCATACCGTATCGTCTGCTTCTTTCACATCCAAGAAGAAGTGGCTGCCCCGCCCTCTTTCTACCTTGGATGATTCTCCCTACCGTAAATGCGTGGTCTACTGTTCGCACCCTCTTCTTTCGGAATCCTGCCTGGCCCTGGCCTATCCTACCTTCCTTCTCCAATACGCCAACCATCCTATCGTTCAGCAGCTTACAAAACACGTTCCCTCCTGTGTTCAACAGTGTGATCCCCTTGTAGTTTCCTGGGTCAGTCCTGTCTTCCTTCTTGAGCAAGTTCACAACCACCCCTTCCCTCCATCTACTTGGCGCATACTCATTTTCCCACACCTAGTTGAACAGCAGTTCCATCACCCCTTTCCCCCAACCTTCATGAACTCGTTGACTATCCCATCCGACCCTGCTGCTTTGTGGCACTGCAGCTTGTTCATACAATTCTGAACCTCGTCGTCACTGAACTCCGCCTCTAGCTCTACGTTCCCAGCGTCTGCCTTCGATGTCTCTTCTTCTTCCTGGGCCCATCCGTCCACCTCCTTCTTAAGCACTGGGTCAAAAGCTTCATTCTCCGACGGCACTGCAAGTCTTTTGTAGTGTCCTGCTAGAATTCCTTTTCCCGTTCCCACTGCTGACTAGTCAACCGTTCACACCTCGCAATGTTGCTACCCACTGTATGCCCCCCCTGGGCGGTCTTTTTTACCATCCCACTAATCTCTTACAACATCTGCTTTACGTTCCCTTCCAGGCCTCCGTTGGCCTTCTGCACTACTTCATTCCAAAAGCATTTTTTTCTCACTTTCCCTTGCACCAGTTTTCTCTTGGCCCCGTACGTTTCCTAACCCCCCTCGGACCCCTCAGTCAGGTATTGCCTAAAGACTCCTCCACGTTCTCCTATTTCTTCTTTCAACTCGTCATCCCACCACTACAGTTAAACGATACCGCATATCGAACCACCTATTGACCCGTTACTCTCTCTGCCGTTGTGTTTACTATCGCACGGGGCGGGCGGAAACTCCGATACTTGCGATACCCAATATGCCACGGTCGTACGCCGCCGTACGAACTACTTCGGTGCATCATATTTTTTGCGATGGAACCGCGAGGTACCTCCGGTGCAGTGAGTCCCCCGGAACCACTCGGGAAACTCGGCACCGGTGGCATTACACCCCCGTGTGATATCACCGATCCCCGTGAGATACTCGAATTATATCACTTCGTTTTTCCAAATTTTTTCGCACGGGGGTGTGATATCACAGGTACGTGCGACATCACCGAACCGTGCGTTCTCTTGCATCCTTGCGGGCCTTAGGCGGTGTTGCTGGTGAGGAACTCTTGATTGAGACCGTGCGCATTCACCAGCAATACAGATCATACACACCAGACCCTATCGACAAATGTACCCAACGCCCAATCAACGCAGTTTTCCTTGACAGCGACACAGCGGTGGGTTGATTGCCTGTCTTTGGCCAAGTGGACGCTTACAATCAATGTGTTCATCAGTGTGTAACCGGTCTGTTGTTCACTCATCGCCCAATTCGTACGTCCACCCTTTCCGCGTAATTTGTGTGCACCAGATGAGCACCAACAGACATTTGGTGATATGCGCCGAACGATTTCTGTTGTAGTGTGACCACGTTAATGCCCGCTTTGTTCCGTGCAAGCCAATTTAGTGGTATGGTATTCCCTTGCCACGTCCACGGCAAAAACGCGCACTCTCGATGAGGTCTGTGGGTGGCATTGCGCTCCTGTGCGAATCTTGAAGGAAGGTGCTCCTTCCAGTCGCCTTTCTTGTATCCTCACGTTAACTCCCAGTCCTCGTGCGAAGCAAGAAAGTAGCCCATCCTCAACGAACATGGTAAACGTCGTGCGTGCGGCATGCAGGGCGCAGTTCTCTGCTAGAAGAGACTTCGCTCCCTCCCTTACCATGTCAACTCCAAGCCTGCTATCCGGTGCAATTTTCCACGCCCTGCAAATGCAATGTTTTTCAATATTTTGACAGATCGTGCAGTACATCCAGCTGTTCAAGACGCCCGACCAAGGCAGCACCTCTAGCGGGCAAGACTCTTTCACCTATGTCAGCGACTACCTCGGCGATCCCTACGACTACGATGACAGCGAGTACATCTCGTACGATGACTACAGCGGGGAGTATTACTCCGATACTTGGAGCGAAGACTCCTTCTGTGCAGGAGTTCTTGACGATTTGTCGTACCACTTTAGCTACCTCTTTGACGATACTTCATACTCCTCTTCTTCCACTTCACCGTCCTTCACCGGTGGGTTCCACAAAGACACTGTTGGCGGCCACGGCACGTGGACGGCCGGTAGCGCGGCGGGGGCTATTTCGGCCCAATCCATCCTCGAAGAAGAGGCTTGCTACGGTGACGAACTTCCTGGGTGTGCCGGTGGCTGCATATCGGCTTCAGACGTCGACGCCATGCTCGACGACAGCACTTTCGACCTCGACGTCTTCTGCCCCATGTACACCTGCGACGGGAATACCGATATTCCTTCCTCTGAATGCCTCAGCGATGATCCAGTTGAAAATCTGCATCAACACGGCGGTGTAGCCCCCGGGGCACAGATCTCCGTGTTTGACGTTTCGTACGTAGGAACCGAGATTTATGCTTCATTCGCGGGAAACGATTTATGGTACTCGGCGATGGAGACGGGCGCGAAAATCCACACCAACTCATGGGGTGGAGCTACGCTTTGCCAACTCACTGAAGACGAGTATTTGTACGACACCTTTATGTATGAGGTGAGTACGATCATGCCCAAATTCACGCGCGCGCCCATTCCTCATATACGTACGCAGTTGCATTTCGAGTGTGGGATATGTACATGCTAGCTTCGGTCATTGCTGCTCGCTCGCAATAAGCGTGGAGATTACCAATCGAATTTCCAACATTGACGCGGCCGCTACCCCGCCCCTCTCTTGTTTTCACATTCTTGCAGAATCCCGAGCACCTGTTGATATTCGCTGCGGGAAACGACGGCGGGTATGAAGACATCCCCAACCGCGAGGCCTGCACAGTTGGATCTCCTGCCCTCGGCAAGAACAGTCTAGCTGTGGGAGCCACGTCCTCTGGTCCTTTTCCAGGAACCCGAACCGGAGACGACGGGAACTTGGTTTACGAGGAGCTCGGCCTGACCGACTATTCTCCCGAGGGATACCCCTGGATTTGCTTGACGCCTTTTCTGGGGACGCCGTCCGCATCGACGGAGCCAGCGGGGGTCGATACTGTCGCGTTTTTCAGCTCGCAGGGTCCTACCCTAGATGGGCGAATCAAGCCTGACGTCGTTGCTCCTGGGGATCAGGTTAGAGCGTATTTCGCGATGGCAATCTGTCTCCGTATTTGAATAATTTCTCAATTGTCTGCTGGTTATTGTAGCTTCTCCCACAACACGCCGTAGGGATAAAATCGCAAGACGATGGGATAGTACCCATGCTGCGTAGGCACGAGTTTGTTTTGGCAAGACCATTACGGGTGGTGGATGTGCCAGCACCCCCAAGGCACACATGTGGCTGATGTCCCCTGTGTGGTTTGTGTCGATGTGGAGTAAGCTTTCAATACGCACCCATAGCCCTTACTTTGGACAAGTTCGATGACAGTCTCTCTTTCCCTCTTCTCGCGCAGGTGGCCTCCGCATCAAGTGACGGGACCGATGGACACAGCTGCAAACTGGGTAAGTCTAGCACCACCTGCTACCAACTCCAACCGTTGCCGCGATGTTATCTCAAATGCTTTACTGACTAGTGGTTGCATCGCAGATTTCGCAGAACAGGAAGGCTTTCCGAGAAACAGCCCATACCCTGGACACCTCCAGTGTACCACATATGAGCACTGACAACAACCCTCTTCGTTCGTTTCCCTTTCCCCTCTTGTCGTTGGTCGTCTCTTGCACCCACGCATGTTCAGTCGCCTCTATGGGGACCTCCGCTTCCTGCCCCCTGGTCGCCGGTGCCGCTGCCCTGGTAATTTGCGAACATTGTGAAGCAAAGTGCAGATATGCGAGTTTGCTGCCGTTGGTAGTCGATGGTACTGCAACGTGGTAGGATATTTACGCTTGACGCCTCATCTACCACTGTACGTTTGACGCCCCATCTACTAACCCAATTGTTGTGCTGCCCTGGAGTCTCAACCTTTGACCTCTGATGTGCTTTTCGATAGGTTCGGCAGTACTTCAAGGATCCGTCGTTTTTCGCCAAGGATGTAGTGTCTCGGGGGGGCTGTGCTGAACATTCTTCGTCCTGCCAGTGCTCTGAGTTCGCCCCTTCTGCGGCGACCGTCAAGGTGAGATGCCAGATTCACGAAGAATGTTGAGAGATAATCCAGCCGGAATCCTGTTTCGGCTGTCGCAGGCTAGCCTTAGATGTGGTAACAGCGAAAGGAGCCCAGTTGAACGTCCCACCTCTTTCGACGACTTTTCGTCCCGTTCAACGGCGAGGCCCAAACGAAAAGAATCGAGGTTTCGCAGACAACGACCCCACGGAGTAAGTGTGGATGAGTCAATTGCTCAGAGTCTAGCCGTGTGTACATGGTAGAGAAGCAGAACCGCATATCTATTTACCGAGGTTGAAGATAATATCAATTTTCCACCGACCAGGCGAACATCCCTTACTCCCAGAAGTGCGAGAAGCGGTAGATCCCTTCTCCGAATAAGTAGGTACCGCCGTCTGCTATCCTCACGCGCCCCTACCATGCCGGGGAGGGAGCTATACCAATCATGGAGTCACCTCCTCAAAGGCATTCATATACACAGATAATCAGGTGTGGGGGGCCACAGGTTTCGAGGACCGCCAATGATACCGCTTTAGGCGGAACAGTCAATGTAACTATGTACCTGATGATAACATGTACGAAACTTGAAATTCTCGAGGCGAGCGGTCATGTGCGTACTATGACTCTGTGTACGATGATAACATGTACGAAACTTGAAATTCTCGAGGCGAGCGATCATGTGCGTACTATGACTCTGTGTACCACCCTCGGCAAAGATGTTTGTTTCCATTCAGTACCGATGAACAAGAGCAACGCAGCCGTGGCTCGACTCTGTACTATCCGTTGAGGCAGTGTTGGCCAGAATTTATGAAGTCAGCTCCTCGAGAAAAAGTCAGGGCAGTCTTGAGCTGCATCTTTACCTGTCTGTCCGTCCTCAACTCCTGAATACTCTTCAGGCCATGATCATCAACAGCGCGCACCTGATGGGTGGCAGCAGTGAACCCAACGGTGTTCGTGGTTTTGGCCGAGTACACCTCGAGGCGGGCATGCCTATGGACGGCGTCGGTGAAACCGGCCTTTCCGTTGTCGAAGCAGCCATCGCTGACGGCGAAATTACCGAGCTGGTCACGGTCGACGGAGATGCTGGAGTGGAACTTCGAGCAACGCTCGCCTGGCTCGACCCCCCAACGACAGCATTGTCGGCCAAGCAGCTTCAGCACGACCTTGACCTACATGTGATAGCCCCAAGCGGTGCCAAGTACACCATGTGGGAATCGGGCGTAGATGACACCGTCAATGTGGTGGAGCGTGTGATCGTGCCAGTTGAATCGATGGAGAGTGGCGTGTGGAGCGTAGTCGTGTCGGCCAAGGCACTGCTTACCGATGAACAGTTGTACTCGTTGGTGGTGACGGGGGCTATCTACAGCTCCAAGTAGAGCACGCAAGCGTAATCGTTCTCGCCCCCGCCTCGCTGGTCGTTGTCTGCTGGTCAGCTGGGTGTGCGTTGCAGGGTCTCACGGGGTGAGAATAATCGGTTTTCTTGTAGATATTCGGTGTTGTTTTGTTTGCGTCTGCCGGCTGGATAGAAGCGGTGGCCGTTTCTCTCCCCTATTGTGCCCCCCTTCTCTCGTGTATTGTGTGTTGACTGGAGAGAAGAGCCAAGTGTGTAGCGACATGGAGACTTGAGTGTGTAGAATAAAGAGAGGAACACAAAGAAACCATAACTTTTTGGCTCATTGACAGAGACAATCGGGTGCAAACGGAGTACACCCCCTAATCAGACGAAGAAAAAGAGGTTGTGCATCAACACAACAACCCGTTCTGTATCCCAAAATACCCCCAATAGCCCCAAAATATCACACAGTATGAAAAATCGAATATTCCTCGACAAAACAAGGAGCCATCAAGACACAGATAGATGCCTGAGACGGTAATGAAACCAGAATCGAAGCGCCCAAACAGTCAGACGCCGCAGGAGACACTTGGGACAAACAGGACATACAAGAAGGCCATCGCTCCCACTCGAATATGCAAGGCCAAGCGAAACAAAACAGGCACAACAGCCAGAACGAATAGACCCCACTCGCAGGATCGACGCATCGCAAACATACCCTGTTGTAGCCCTGCAAGGTCACACTGTACTGTAACACCCTGTTTGTTTCGACGGCATTCCGCCACACAACCCAGCGACGCCCCCAAGCTACCCCTGAGCAGCTTGGGGTACGCTTGGCCTACTGCACGCCTCAAAGGCTACACACGCGCACCCACTTCTCTCTCCTTCCTGGAACAGCAGCAACACCAACAGTAGACCTAAACTGCCACAGGTTTTAGATCACTAATGGGCTGCGTGCGCAGGCCAAGCGTTGACGCGTCCTGCTTGCCTGGTGCAATATTTCTTCTGCACTACAGTACACAAAGACAGTAATGCCATCGTCGGAGGGGGACAATGTTCTCTAGCGTACTGCGAGTTGCGTCCCAACACCGGCGCTATACTCGTCCTGGTTCCTCCCCGTCACCACAAATGACAGCGGTCTCCAACGTGGTGTGCAACTCTGACTGGGAAGTCACATGGCTGACCCTCACTCCATCAGAATTTTGAGGACTTGCGAGACAGAAAGAAACTGCGAGCCTTCCCCCGATGTCACCACACCTCGATCCACGCACCCAGTCCCCCGCAAGGGCGAAGGGACAGCTCAACGCCTCACTAACCGCAAGAGCCGTTGCCAAGGACACTTTCTGGGAAAACACCCCCCCACCAGTGTAGATTGGCTCATACCCTAGGACGAATATGAAGTATCCACACGATACTGCGATGATCGCGGTCCACAGTGCCGTCACACACAGTCCGAATAACTCCACGCGTGGGACAGATAAGTCGTACAGGACTTCCATCACTGCCAATGTGATTGGTAAAGGCGGGGCCGACCACTTTCTGTTCTTTGGCATCACCTTCACGCCTCCCACAACCGCAGCTACAATCCAGACGAGATTGTGCACGTCCGCTTCCTCCAACCATTTTGCGTAGGCGACCAGAGCTGCAACCCAATAGAATGAGCCCCAGCCACTGTTTGCCGCCACGAAATGGACGGTCCACAGCGTCAACACGCAACCTAGCGCGTCTACAACAGAGAACCCCCTCGCCCACGCAAGGTGGTCACCACCGAAAGATTCGTCCAGCAGAGCCCGGCCACTAGATGTGCCCAGTAGCTGATGCACTTCTTCGACATCCAGGTTTTTCAGAAAGCCATCAGGGTTCTCTCGTGCAATGAAACAGATCGGCGCTACTCTGCTGCTCGTTCCACCTTTGGACGAACTTCGAGACGACCCATTGCACGTCCTCGAGAACACCTCTCTTGGTATCTCCGTTACTCCCTCACATACCACTATCCCCAGGCCAGTCATTGCTTGTCCTTCTCCCTGCCCACGAACAGGAAACGATCCCGATCCGGAAAACGGACAAAACGTTGTTCCGTCCGTGCTTATCCTTGCTAGTTGCACTACAGGTGCAGGGTTCGCGAGGTTTACGCGATCGCCCCGCTCTCGCTGTTCTTCGAAGAAATGCCGGGACGAGCCGCCAGGGCCTAAGTACCCACGCGGAGACCTGCCGTGGGCAGTGCGCATGCCTAGGCGTAGCGTTGAAAGCGACAGCCAGCACGCTATCGAAACTACAGCCATTACAGCAATAACGACATATTTCTGGGCAACCTCCTTCACCAGCTTCACCTCGTACGTGCCGACGCAGGAACTAGACGGATACGGGTACGTAGCATTACAGGTGATGTCGCACTTGATCAGTTCTTCCGGTGTTGCGACTGCCATACAAATCCCGGTCTCCATGCCGTTCGCAGAAAGTTCGGGTGTGAGCAAACTCTCGTTCCCTGCTAGACGTTCTAACTCACCAAGGATGCCAGATCTTACGTCAACCGTTGAAGTTCTAATCTCACTTGTATGAGGCAATGACTCGTTGAAATCGAATCTAAGCGTACAACTGGGAGACAATTCTTCCGGTTCGTCGCAGGTAATCCATGGATATGCGAGCTCGTAAATCCCGCGTAGCATTCCGATGTAGAGCAAGAGCTCGAGATCACGGGCGCTAGCATCCTCGGGTAGCTCCAACGCAGACATGTTTGGTCCGAACTCAAAAAAGTGAGATATGGTGTTCGAGACGCCACAGGACCTATATGTGGAAAACGAATACCCCTGATAGTGCCAGCTATCACATTCTTCTTCCATTCCCTGAGGAGACATCGTGTCTACGCCCTCTAACGAGTAGAAGTCCACGGCAGGACTGCGCACGCACAGACCTTCATTTTGGGTGTATTTGTTGCCCAGTGCACCGTGAATCGAATACCAATTGAATGAGAAACCACACGCATAAACATCTGGTTCCCATTGTACCTCAGACGCATAAGAACCGTCAGTGACCTTTCCCGCCAGTTGGATGCGAACCTTGTCGCTCAGATCGCCGATCGGCGCCCCCACGTAGTCGTTCGTTCGCGTAACATACTTGGGTGGGTTGGAGAGGATCACCGATGTGTTGACGGTGAGGTAGGCCAACAAGACGACGCTACTAGACCCGAGAAGCCGCTGTCGTAGCATCTTCGACAATGGAGTCAACACCTAGTGCAGGAGTGCGCGGAGGTTAGGCGGGGACGTATTCCAAGTTGATTGTATTGTTGAGGTTAAGTTGCCGTATCAGAGACCACATGGCTCTGGAAGTGTTAGTAGGGAACGTACGAGGGTTTACGTGTTGGGATGTGACAATGTGAGCACGACAATGCGGGCATGAAACGACAATGGTTCAGAATTCTGGTGTTTTCACGCCGGCAGCAGCAATTTTTGCACGACGTTACACACCTCACCGACTACCCCACCTGCTGGGACCCTGACTAGCTAGCTCTGAAGCAGTGAAATAGTTTGTGTATCGGCATGAATGCCAACGCAGTAGCATTGAGGACACCCGCGCGCAGCATAGCAGCCAGTGGCGAAATGTTGTGGGTTCTTTTCGACGGCACTGCTCGCCAATACCGCATCATGACGTTTCTCTGGATACCCAAAGATAGGCAGTACGGACTGCGAGAACAGAAAAAGTAACAAGAGATTGTATATACCCTCTTGCCCGGGTGGATCACGGACGGACTTCGCGCCACCTTCGTGATCGAAGTTCTAGGTGCTTCATTTAGGCGGACAACATGTTTTGCCATCAATTCGACGAGGCCAAGGAACTCGCTCAGCACATTGGTATGTTTTCCGCGTTCTTGTTCCCCGATCGTATTTTTCATAATATTTCTCTCTTTCCCGCTTTCCGACCTTGTGGCGTGCGTTGGTCCCGGGGCGTCTCGACAATTTGCTCTTGTGCGTGAGTTGCTCGCTTTATCTGGGTAAATGGCTTGCTCTCACTGGCCTCAAATAGTCGACAGGAATAACCTGTCTTCAACCTTTGCGGGAGTTGTTTCGCTGGTTGTGTTGGCGTCGTACAACCGTGTGCTTCTCGTTGTTCTTCTCTGTGGGGCAACTTGTTTCGCATCGGTAGACAATGTTTTGTTGTTGGTGCTGTTGTTTGTATGTTGTCTTCGCGCTAATAGCGTTCTGGTCCCTGCTCAATATCTTCAATCATCTATACCGGTCCACTTGATGCGGATGCCTTCCGTGGTCACAGGCCAAAAACGCCAGGTCGAGAACTGACAAGCGGCCTTCACACCAGCTTAGTGCCTTCGTGTGCGACCTGGCTGGTAGTAACTGCAACAATAGTTCGACGATACCCGAGATGCTCGAGGATCTGATTAGCCTCGTCATTTTACCGGAATTTCGCCGTGAGCATATATGTAATCGCGGATAGATGTATGCTTACGATAACTCTGACGCTTTCCTGGCAGCAACGCCATGATCCTACGAGGACGAGGGAGGTCAGCTCCTTTTCCTGCGCGATGACCGGGTCCGCCCATATCGAAATTCCACGAGAACAGTTCCTCTTCGTGCTTTTGACGTACGGCGAACTCCGCGTGTCACGAGGAGATAGATAAAATCACAAGCAACGGGAATCTCACCTACTATTACTCGCACCAGACCGAAGATCTCCTGCTCGCGAGCAGAGGTCGTTTCGGCCGATCCGGTGCGGATAGTTGCAGGCAGATCTAGCCCGAAACCAGGGCAATTGCACCGTGACGAGAGTGGGCAGCCTTCGGGGCGTGTGTCGAGCTAGGATGGGAAGGACCTGGTGTATTGTACGAAACATTTTCGAAAAACAAGGAAACAAGAGGGGCGTCCAAGAAAGCGATGGAAAGCAAGATGAGCGTCGTTAGACGTTAACGTGAAGGGGCTCAGGTACTGAGCCACGAAATCCTGATACCCGAACGGTGTTTTGCCAGGGCTCATCGCGCGGGGAGGAAGAACATTCTTGAATGCTGAGACCTTGTGATGATCCCAACTCTCAAGG